ATACTACTACTACTACTACTACTACTGAACTAATACTACTTTTACTAATATAATATAAATAATATTACTACTAAGGCTACTACTACTACCACTACACTACCACTACCCTACCACTACCACTAACCACTACCACACTACTACGGTTACTACTACTACTACTACTACTACTACTACTACTACTACTACTACTACTACTACTACTACTACTACTACTACCGACTTCGCCTTGCCAAACGAAAGGACTAGGAGAAGGAGGAGGAGGAAGAGGGAGAGGAAAAGGAGAAGGAGGAGGAGGAGAAGGAGGAGGAGGGAGGCGGCGCGGTCAAAATCGGTGTCCGCTCACTGAGCTCAATGGCCAGAGCTGGGCGGCAAGGGACAAACCAGGAAAGGGCCTCGCCCCGAAGATGAGAGACGCAGGCCCCACAACCCGCGGCACCGTCTCCTGACCGTCCAGCGAAGGCGGGAGCCCCGCAGACAGCAGAGCAGACAAGGCGACTGGTGCGTCGCGCGGCAGGGTGCACGCGCCTCGCAAAGCCATTCCAGTTCGCACGGCGGGCGGCGCCGTCCAGCCGAAGAGAGCCATCCCCGACGGCCTCGGCGCTGGAAAGGACATGCTCCCGTCGGGGTGTGTCCGCGCCACTGCAATGCCGGAGAATATGGCGCCGCCCTGCTGGGCGGTCAGGGGCGCCTGAAGGAAGGTTATTCGCATGCGGGAAGCGGGCCCTGATGGAAACGGGTCCTCGACTCCGGGGCCTTCCCCCAGGCCCAGCCCTGTTCATCCTGAGTCGTTTTCTAACGGCCGGTGGGCCCGCAGAGGGCCCCGAGGGCCCGAAAGCAGCGAAAACCCTCAGGACACCTTTCCCTCAGGACCCGCTTCCCTCATGGCGAATGTTCGCCCGGGAGCTGGAGGCTGGCCGGGAGCAGCAGGGAAGCGCAGGGCAGGGCCCGACGCGGTGGCGGCGCCGCGGCAGGGCCCGAGGCGGCAGCAGGGTCCGCCGCAGAAGCTGCGTCGGGGCAGCGGGCTGGGCGGGCGGCGGGCGGCGACGGGGCCGCGACCGCGGGGGGGCAGCGGGCCGGGCGGGCGGTGCGAGCGCGCTGCAGGGGCCTCTCGGGCGGCGCCAGAGGCGAGGCCGCCCGGAGCGCCGAGGTCCCGCCGCGGTGAGCCCACAAGAGGACGTACGCGCCCAACCACGTACGTGAATGCGGCCCCCCAGTCCGCAAGACCGGCCGCGTCGTACGAACATTCGCGCAGCGCGTACTTTCGAAACCAGCGCGGATGTATGCACGTCCCTCGTGGTTCGGGGGGCCGACGTCACCGAACGCCTACGGCTTGAGTGCGAAATCTACATCCTGGACGGCCTCCAGGAGGGCAGTGGATCCATGTACGCGTATTCATGTCCACGTGGATTCATGTGCGTGTACACCCTGCGAAATGCTTTAGAAATCATGGGTTAAGAAATTCATAGTCTCAGAATTTGGAGAAAAAACCCAGAATGTCTATTCAAATCTTAGGATTTACATTGAAACATTAAGAATAATCGAGACTCTGGCCGAAAGCTTAAGTTTTCTTAAGCATCGCCTAAGGTGTACGTCCTTCTTTCGCTCATGGTCAGACCGTGGGGACAGGGATGCTGGCGCCCTGTCGGCCAGCGCGCGACCACGGGCCGGCCCAGCGGCGCCGAGGAGGGAGAGGGAGACGGGAGGTGGGAGGCGGGAGAGAGAAGGGGGAAGAAGAGAGGAGGGAGGGGGGGGGCACGGAGAAGAGAGGAGGAGAGGCAGGGGGGGGAGGATGAAGAGGAGGAGGAGGAGAGAAGGATGTGACGTGGACGTGTAGAAGGGGGAGGAGGAAGGGTGAGGGAGGAGGGCCTGAGGCATGAGGAGGAGGAGAGGGAGGGTAGGATGAGTAGGATGAGGAGGAGGTGGGGAGGCGGAGAGGAAGGGAGGAGGGCGGGAGAGAGGAAGGAGGGAGAGAGGGGGGGAAGGGGAGGGGGGAGGTGCCCCCAAGGGTTCTGGAGACTCTCGGCTATTTCACATGATCCTCAACAGTGTTCGACAAGTGTCTCTTGTTTCCTCCAGGGGGCTGGGGGGCAGTCCTCGTTCTCGTTCCTCCTTCGTCCTCCTCCTCCTCCTCCAGCTCCTCCTCCTCCTCCTCCTCATCCTACTCCTCCTCATCATCATCATCAGCATCATCAGCAGCATGATCATCAGCAGCAGCAGCATCAGCATCAGTATCAGCATCATCATCATCATCATCATCAGCATCATCATCATCAACATCATATTCATCATAATCACCGTCATTATCATGTCCCTCCTCCTGTTTTTGCTCCTCATCCGTCCTCCTCCTCCTCATCCTCCTCCTCCTTCTCCTCCTCCTCAGTATCATCATCCTTCTCCTGTTCCTCCCTCCTTCTCCTCCTCCAGGTCCTGTTCATCCTACTCCTCCTCTTCCTCCTCCTCCTCCTCCCCATCTGCCTCCATCCTTTTTCCCTTGTGACTAACTCCTCCCTGCCGCACCCACAGACGTGTTGGTAGGGCGGGCCAGGCGTTTCGAACAAGACGTGCCCATCATGTATAATCCTGCAGGTTGGACGTTGCAACATATTCGAGGATGGAGGGCGGGTCCTTTCCAAACTGTGGCTCTCGCCTCAGCTAGGCGCATAATCGTCCTAAAACTTCGCAGCCGCTTCACACATGGAGAACGGGTTCGTTTCAAGATGTGGCTCTCGCCTGAGCGCCGCGAGCACTCATCTGTAAAAGCGTGCAACAGCTTCGAGGATGGAGGGCGGGTCGTGTTCAACCCGTGGCTCTCGCCTTAGCGCCGCGCGCATTCGTCTGTAACAGCTTGGAACAGCTTCTCGGAATGAGGGCGGCTGGTTTTCAAAATGTGGCTCTCGCCTCAGCGCCGCGCACACTCGTCCCAAAAAGATGCGCAACAGCTTCAAGAATGGAGGGGGGGTCAATTTCCGCCTGTGGCTCTCGCCTTAGCGCCTCGCGCATTCGTCTTCAAACGTTGCACCAGCTTCAAAGATGAAGAGCGGCTCAAGTTTTCCAAGATCTGGCTCTCGCCTCAGCGCCGCCCACATCCGTCTTAACTGGTTGCAACACATTCAATGGTTCGTATGGTTGACGTGCCAGGACCTGTGTGCTGGCACGAACTAGGAATCTCAGGACGCAACACTGACGTTGATTCGCTGTGCTGAAGTCCTAGGAATGGTGCTCCGACACGGTTTAAGATAATGAGGACGCAACAGCCACGTTGATTCGCAGCGCTAAAGTCCCAGAACGGTGTTTTGGCACGGTTGAAGATTATCAGAGGGTTGTCTTCTAACGTGGCACCTTCTGCCATGAGCAATAAAATTGCAAGGGCATATGATAAGGGAACTTGAACGGAGGGTACATTGCAACATCGCTGGTTTGCCTTGAGTATACCACTGGTCCTCCTCCTCCTCCACCTCCCACTCCTCCTGTTCCTCCTCCTCCTCATCATGATATGTTTCCGCGGAGTTTCCAGATGGGCTCCAAAGCGGCTCGGGAGCTCTAGATGGTTTAGAAGGTTCTAAGGGCCCGGGTGATCCTGCGAAGGTTCTAGACTGGCTTAAAACGGCCTTTACACACGGGGTTGCACGGCTTCTCCTCCTTCTCAACCTCCTCCTCCTCCTCACCGTGCTCCTCGTCCTCGCCATCCTCATCATCCTCAGCATCAGCATCACCATCCTCATCAAAAGCAACATCAACGTCATCACCATCACCATCAGCAGCATCATAATCATCAGCATCATCATCAGAATCATCAGCATCATCAGCATCACCATCATCACCCTCATCAACCGCATCATCATCATCAGCAGCAGCAGCAGCAGTATCACATTTCGCCATCATGATCATCAACCGAAGCATCGTCAATGTCATCACCACCACCAACCCCACGCTCGTCATCATTACCGTCATCGGCAACATCGTCGTCATCAGCATGACCAACATCATCATCGCCATCGCCATCACCACCATCATGATCGTCATCAGCATCCTCATCTTTATCGTCTTTATCATCTTCATAACCGTCATCCTCCTTACATCATCAGCATTAGAAGCATCGCCGTCGTCGCCTCACTCATCATCAACATGACCATCAGCATCAGCATCATGATCCTTACAGTCATTGCCATTAACATCATCAACATGAGCATCATCATCGTCGTCATCGTCAGCTGCATCATCATCGTCATCATCATCAGCATCACCAACATCGCCAACACCAACAACACCATGACCAGTATCGCCATCAGTATCACCAGCATCAAGATAAAAGTCGTCATCATCAGCATCAGCAGCATCAGCAGCATCATACTTATTATCATCAGCATCAGCATCACCATCACCACCACCATTACCATCACAGTCACCAGTACCATCACCATCACCAACAACATCATCAACAGTGCCATCATCATCAGCATCATCAATACCACCACCTTCATCAGCATACGTAGCATTACCGTCGTTGCCAACGCCATCATCAGCAGAATCATGATTATCAGTGTCAGCATCATCCCCATCACCACCATCATCATCATCATCATCATCATCACCAACATCATCACCAACATCATCACCATCGTCAGCATCGCAAATAACAGCATCATCGCCATAATCCTCATCATTAGCATCATCGTAATCATCACTACCGTCATCCACATCACCATCATTATCACCATAATCATGACCAATACCATCACCATCACCACCATCACCATCAGCACCATCACCAAGAACAGCATCATCACCATCACCAGCATCATCAGCATCATCATCATCAGCAGCATCATAATTATCAGCATGATCGTCATACTCAGCATCATCATCAGCATCATCAGCATCACCATCCTCCTCATGATAAGAATCATAATAATTATCAGTCATCCCATTACCATCTGCACCCTCACAACCATCATCATCATCATCATCCTCATCATCATCATCATGGTCATCGTCATCATCATGGTCATCGTCATCAGCATCATCACAATCGTCATCAACATCATCATCACCATCACCAGCATCGTCATCATCATCATCACCATCATCACGATCACAACCAACAACAGCATCGTCGTCATCATCCTCACAGTCATCATCATCATCATCATCACCATAATCAGCATCATCATCAGCAGCATCATCAATATCATCATCATCAGCATCAGCATCAAAATCGTCATCATCAGCATTAGCATCCGCATCAACAATATCATCACACTCATCCCAAACTTTCCCCCCCTTTTCCTCTCCTCCGTTCCTTCTCTCCTCCTGCTCCTCTGCCTCCTCCTCCTCTTCCTCTTGATCCTCCTCCACCGGGCGCGCACGGGTCTCTCCCGCCTCCCCTCGGACGAGGGCGGCTCCCCCGCCCACTCCTGACCTGCGCCAGGGGCTCTGGCCAAGGGCGATGGCGCAGCCCGTCCCGCTCCCAGCGCGGCAAGCCCCACTCTGGCCGCACGAGGCGCTTGACCTGGGGAGGGGGGGGCGGCTGCAGGGAGGAGGGGAGGGAGGGAGGAAGGACGAGGTGGGAGGAAGGAGGAGGGGGGGGAGGCCCTCTCTGACAGAAGTCCACCCGGATCCGCCACCGGCCTGCGTCGCACTGAGTAGAGTGTCTCGTCAAGTCCCTTCGACAGACAGACAGACAGACAGACAGACAGACAGACAGACAGACAGACAGACAGACAGACAGACAGACAGACAGACAGACAGACAGAAGCCGCGCCCAGACGGTAAGGAAAATTGCGGCAGGTGACGGCGTGCGGGCACATGCAAATTATAAATAAGTATCTGATTGCGCTGCCGGCGGCTCTGTTGCACACCATGGGAAGGCTTTGTACCCCATGGGACGCGATGCGTTAACCAACGGACAGTCCGGAAGAGAGGGAGAGAGAGAGAGAGAAACAAAAAAAGAGAGAGAGAGAGAGGGGGAAGGAGACAAGCTAGGTGCGCTCGCGTCATATCTGACGTCCGTTACCCCTCCCTCCCATCCCTTACGGCATGGGCGCTGATTTTCTCTATCCGCGACGCGTGTCGTAGCGGACCTTGGCTCCGCGCGGCGCGTGCGTACTAAGTGGGTGGTGGTGCGCGTGCGTGCGTGCGTGCGTGTCGTGTGTGCGTGTTGTGGTGGTGGTGGTGGTGGTGGTGGTGGTGGTGGTGGTGGTGGGTGGTGGTGGTGCTGGTGCTGGTGCTGGTGGTGTGTTTGGTGGCTAGGTGCTGTGCTGGTGCTGGTGCCTGGTGCTGGTGCTGTTGCTAGTTGCTGGTGCTGGTGCTGGTGCTGGTGCTGGTGCTGGTGGTGCTGGTGGTCGTGTGCTGGTGGTGCTGTGCTGGTGCTGGTGGTGCTGGTGGTGTGGTGGTGGTGGTGCGGCGCGGTGGTGGCGGGCGGATGGGCGCGCGAGAAAGAGGCCCGCGCTGGGGCGAGAACGCCATCCTGAACGACGGAGGCCAAACACCGATCCGAAAATGAGCCCACGCTGCAGCGGGAGCACGATTCGGAACGATTCGGGAGCAGAAATGAGGCCGGCGCCTCAGCGAGAGCAGCATTTTTGAAAAAAACACCAGCGAAAACCCAATTCCGGGGAATCCTGTGTGTAAAAAAACAGTACGCGGGGGGGTGCCGAATATCTTCCGGACGCCATCTGGGGAAGTGGGAGAGTATTTTCATATTGTGTAATCGTGGAGAGGGGAGCGGGAGGGAGGAGGGGGACAAAGGCAATCTGTGAATCCCACCAGCCCTCTGGGCGTAGGTGGTCTAGGGCGGCTCCTCTTCCAACCCCCTTCGCCCCCTTCGGGGAGTGATTTATCACTGTTCCCTCTTAACAAACACCCCCTCCCCCAGGCGACTGGGGGCCAACCAGGGTCCATGACAACCCCCCCACACCATCCCTTGTAAAAAACAATACAAACACACACTCTGCCTCCAAATTCGGAACATGCGCAGCCAACCCGATGCGGCCCCCCCCCACCATCCCTGTCAAAAAAGTACACTTGGCGGCGGCGGCGGCTGCGGCGGCTGCGGCGGCGGTGGCGGCGGCTGCGGCGGCTGCGGCGGCGGCGGCGGCGGCGCGGCGGTGGCGGCGGCCGGCTGGCGGCGGCGGCGGGCAGCGGGGCGGCGGCGGCGCGGCAGCGCGGCGGCGGGCCGGCGGCGGCGGGCGGCGGCGGGGGGCGGCGGCGGCAGCGGCTGCGGCTGCGGCGGCGGTTTGGCAGCGGGGGGCGGCGGCGGCGGCGGCGGCGGCGGCGGATTGGCCCCCAGTAGCTGCCCATCCCAAGACGACTGCTGAATATGCTGAGGTTCGGGCCAGACTCGGGTGCTACGTATGTGTTGGGAGGGCGGGTGGGAGTGAGCGAGACGGCTTGCGGGCCGGGAGGGGGTCTTGACCCCTCCCCCTACCCCATCCCCTGGACCTGGACGGGGCCTCGGCGAGGAAGCCAAAATCATTGTTTTTACCACAGGTTTGGCCCCATTTGAACCTCTTGGGGGGGGGGCGGGGGCGCGCTAATTGAAGCTCCCCTCATGTTTAATCTATCTCCTCCAAGATGGCCCCATGAAGCGCCCAGGAGGCCCCAAGAGCTCCCAAGATGACCTCAAGATGGCCCCAAGAGGCCCCCAAAGAGGCCCCCAGGGGACCCCAAGGAGGACCCCAAGCGGCCCCAAGAGGCCCCCCCGAGGCACCCAAGACGCCGAAGAGCCCCCCAGGACCGCCAAGAGACCCCCACGACGTCCCGAAAGGCCACCAAGAAGCGCCCACTAGATATCCCAAGAGGCTCCGAGAGGCCTCCAAGAGACCTCTGACCCTTTTGCTTACCCTCCCTCTCCTGTTCCTCCTTCCTCCTTCTCCTCCTCCTCCTCCTCCTCCTCCTCCTCCTCCTCCTCCTCCTCCTCCTCCTCCTCCTATTCATCCTCCTTCTCCCCACTCCCTCATCCATCCATCCAACCTCCTCCTTCTCCTCCTCCCTCCTTCGCACGGTTCGGCCGTCCCCCTCTTTGCTCCCGCACTTCCCTGATCACCTCAACTCGCCTGGTTATCGTCTCTGGATGGGTTGGTGGGGATGCGCGAAGCGTCTAGAATTGAGCATTGCGAATATTATTCGAGGGGCCCAGACCACTGATCCAGGGCCCGACTAGGCGTTATCGAGAGACCTCCAGAATCTCCGAGTGGTTTTTACGGCGTCCTCGGAAGCAGGACCGCGGGTCCCAACCAACAACATGCTGTAAGATGGCTCAGGGGCAGTCCTGGGACTCTTTTGGAGGCCTGCTGGGTCGTCCTGGAAGCCGAAGGGGCTGGCGCAAGAAGCCGAAATCATTGAATAGCCAAGAGGTGCTGTATGATCTTCGCATACTCGCCTTTTCGGTCTTGCGAGCGTCCAAGACGGCTAAAAATCCCCCCCAAAGAGATCCCAGAGAGGGCCAGGAGAAACCCGAGAGGGGCCCAAGAGGCCCCCGACACGCTCCCAAGAGAGGCCCCAGAGGGGGAATTCGAGCTGCCGTTCGGAGCCCCAGAACCCCACGAGGGGCCCCGAGACAGCAAGCCCCCAAGACGCCTCCACCGAATGTGGGTACCGTCTGAGGGTCCCATCATGATGGACCACGCAGTGTCTCGACCCCTCCATCGGGCGTAGCGCTTCCCCCTGGAACCCTTGGTTTTCTTTAACGCCATAAACGTATTGTTTTGGCGCTCCGCGCGGACTTCTTGGATCTGAGCTGGACCCCCCTCCCTGGCGCGCAGAGTAGGCCAGGGGCGGCGCCGGAGGCGCCGCCAGGGAGGGGCCAGCGCGGATCCAAGAACTCCGCGCGGAGGGGGAAGAGGAGGAGGAGGAGGAGGAGGAGGAGGAGGAGGAAGAGGAGAAGGAGGAGGAAGAGAGGAGAGAGAAAGAGGGCGGCCGCAAAGGGGGGAACGCGGGAAGCCCGCGCGGAGCGCTAAAAGTTTGTGTTCATGCCGTTTTTTCTTCCTCGAGAGTCTACACCCTCGTGGCGAATTGCCTCTTCACTCTCCCGGCGGCCTCGGGCACCGAGAAGAAGCCGGAGAACGCGCGCCAGGGCTGAGAAAGTCAAAGGCCGTGGTTGATTCGCGACGCCGACCCCCAGAGGTCTGGACCCCTTCCTTCCCTGGGACCCGCGCTCCGTCCCGAGCCGTCTCTTACCCGCCCCGGGGCCCAGCAGGGGCCCTGGGAAGCTGAACACGGCCAAAAACCTCCCGTCGACAGAAAAAAACACTACCAGAGGAGGTGGGGGAAGGCCTGAGGCCAGGCGGCGCGCCGAGGGGGGAAGCGAGAGGGGACAGGCCTCCTCCGCAGGCTGCGAAGCTGCTCAAAAGCCCTCGCGCGCCCCCTGGGAGGCCCCCTGCGGCTTCCGAGAAGGCTCGGGCGGCTCCTGGGCCGACCGGGACCCCAAGATCCGACGCCACGAAGAAAATTGCCGCGCGGCAAACTGAAGGGAAACTGGGACACACAAATAAATACACACAAATAAAAAGATTTCCCCATATTTTCCTATATTTTCTGGGTTTTTGTCTTCCCCACCACTTCCCATATTTTCCCATATTTTGCTGGGGATCGACGATTAATTGTGTCTGTGTGTTTTTTCCCCTCCTGACAAACATCACAGCCGGAGCCCTGGACCCCATCTCTCCGCGGCGCTCGTCGAGCCGCATCGATCCGCAGGGCTCTCCCCGGCCTCCGCGCGATCGCTGGGTGCGAAGAGAATAGGCGACGCCGGGGTCTCGGGGTTAGGTCGGGCATGTCCTCCTATCGGGTCGGGCGAAAGGGGGGGATAGCAAAGGGGGGGGTTGAGAATCAGCTCACGTAGCTGATTTCCCGGCGCCTCCCGGCGCCGGAGGCGGCTATGTATCGAGGAATGGGCTCCTCGGTGAGGCCAAAAACAGCTGCATGCAGCAAATTTCGTAACCCCCCCTTTCCCAATCCCCCCCTTTCGCCCGACCCGATCCTACAGGCGGATTTCGGAAGAAGCACGCAAATAAACACGACAAAAATTCAAAGATCGTCAAGAAGAGTCGAAAAACTGTCCCCCGACTCTGTTTTTGGCTATGCGTGAATACTCCTCCTGCAGAGGGACACGCCCGACTTACTCTCCGGGGGAGGCCCGCCACCTCTGCCTTCCCCCGCTGGGCGCGCGCCGACGAGGCCCTTGCGAGGACGCCCCCACCCCCCCCGGGGGAGACCTGGCCCTCGCGATCCAGCGCCGGGGCCAGCAGCCGCAGCCGCGACAGCGGCGGCGCAGTGGCCTCGCCGGGCGCCGGGGCCAGCCAAGCGGCGGCGGCCGCCCTCGCCGCCCAGGACCACCCGAAGCTCCCATCACAGCAGGAGCAGGAAGAGGCGACACCAGCACCAGGGCGAGGAGGTGCGAGGAGGCAAGGGGGGGCCCTCCCTGGTGGTGTGGTCCATCCCTCTCGCTCGAGACATCCCCGGCCTCCAGCTCGGGGAGGCGACGTGGACCTCCTCGCCGGAGGTGGCAGCCCATGGCTTGCACCACGCAGCCGGCAGCACAAAGCCTGCACCGCGCAGCTGGCAGCGCACAGCGCTTGCACCATGCCCGGCAGCACACAGAACACGCATCGAGAGTGCGATGACGCCTACTGCTCGGGGCCATCGCTGGCCAGCATGCGCGTCGGAGGTTGGGGGGCTGAGCCCGGAGTGAAACGGAGGCCCCCCACCAGGAAATCGGTATCGGCTTCGCGCCTGCGTCGCGCGTGCGGGCAAGGCGAAGCTGCGCGGGCGGGTGAGAGGAATGAGCCCGCCGTGGCCAAGGCGAAACTGTGCCCAGTGACTCTACGCCCCCCAAATGGCCGGCGGTGGCTCCGGGGTGTCCCGCAAATGTCCCGTGGTGTCCCGTGGCGTGGTTGTTCGTGGTGTCCCGTGGTGTCCCGTGGGGCCCGTGGCGCGGTGTCCCGTGGTGTCCCGTTGTGCCCCGTGGTGTCCCGCGAGGTCGATTGTGAGATCGATAGTGATGTCGACAGACAGACCAACAGTAGGCCGATAGACAGATCGATAGTGAGGTCAATAGCGAAGTAGACTGTGCGATCGATAGATAGTGGGATCGATAGACAAAGGGGGATCGATAGTATGATCGACAGGTAGATACAGAGAGAGATCGATGGATAGGTGGCCAAACAGGTGCTCCGTGGTGCCCAACTGGCTTCCACCGAATCTGATCCGACCCCAATCGCACACCGAAAGCTGAACTCCCCCTCACACACACAACCTCCTTATCACTCGATAACCATATAGATGTACTGGTGTATAAGTGTATAGGTGTATAGGTGTGCGTGTGAGTGTGTGTGTGTGTGTGTGTGTGTCCATGTCGGGCCCTTTGTCCCAAGAGAACCCCGGAGACCGCCAGCAAGCGCCCTAGAGGCCCCCAAGAGGCCCATGGAGGCCCGAAGAAGCCCACAAGAGGGCCCGAGAGGCTCCAAACGGCCACCAAGAGGCATCAAAACTGCCCTCTAGTGGCTCCCGAAAGGCATCCCTAGAGACCCATACAGGCATCCAGGGGAACTCTGAGCCCAAACCCTGGCATGGTGGTGAATTGGGCCGAGGGCCAGTAGATAGATAGATAGATAGATAAGTAGAAATGTGGGTAGGTATATATATATAAAAGGTATGTAGGCTGTACATATGTATATAATATGCTTATACAGATACAACGAGAAAGAGAGAGAGAGAGAGAGAAATGGAGCGAGAGAGAGAGAGAGAGAAAGAAAGGAGGAGAGGCATGTAGATAGACGTGTGTACAGTGCGAAACACCTTTATATACAATTCGCATGCACAGAGATCGCTAAATATGGGTGTATACAAATACAGATCTAGGGAACCAGATTCAGTGGTTGTTAGCACAATTCGTGGCGCAACCTATGCGGTGCAAGCTATATGGTGCAACCGATGTGGCGCATGGCACAAAATGTGTAATATATGAGGTGTAAACTATATGGTGCAATCTATGTGGTTGAATCTATATGGGGTCATATGTATTGTGTGATCGATGTTGGGCGATATATGTTGTGTAAGCTGTGTGGTGCAATGTACGTGGTGCAATCTACATGGTGCAATGTACTCGGTGCAACCTACGTGGGGCAATGCACGTCGTGCATTATACGCGGTGCAGTCTAGGTGGTGCTATCTATGCGGTGCACTCTATGTGGCACAATAAACTTCGGGCGGCGACGAGCAACGGGGCGGCGACGGCAGCGACAAGGCGGCGGATCCGACAAACGAGCCCAGACGACCGGCGTGGACGATGCGGCGACGGGGCGGTGATGGGGGCAACAAGGCGGCGGACCCGACAAACGAGCCCAGCTCCTTAGAAAACAAATCAGAATCCCTAATTGCAAGCACCGCTTGGAAAACTTGTATATCTCATGACGTGTACCATCTGTATATTTACATATACATATAACTACATATATAGATACCAAAGCATAGCATTATGAGCCTTCTTAATTATATGATAATCATTACGAATAATGGTGTTATTGTTCGTGTGATTGTTAGCACTACTGTTATAAATTCTAATTACCAGCATGGTTAATATCACTAGTGCTACTACTAGTAATACCGTTATTGTGCGAATAACGCGAATAGCGCCTCGAGCTGTTTTGCGGCGGCGCCGCGACAGCGGTGGGCGGGCCCCCAGCCCCCGGCGCGGCCTCCACCGCCGAACGGCCGCCGAAGGGCCACCGAGGCGGCCGCCGAGCGGCCGCCGCACGGCCGCCGAGGGCCGCCGACGTGCCGCCTTCGCCGCCGCCTCGGCGGAGAGCGCCCGGCGGCGGCTGGGTCCACGCAGGCACCGGCGCCCCGCCAGCATCGCGCTCCGCCGAGGCGCCTGCGCCTCTCGCGCGGCGAGGCGGCTCGAGCCCCGGAGGCCTGCGGACGACAAGGGTCGGAGGAGAGACGAGAGGGGCCTCCGCAGACCCAGAGCGAACCAGCATCGCTCAACTGCCCCAGTCCTCCTCCTCCTCCTCCTCCTCCTCCTCCTCCTTCCTCCTCCTCCCCTCCTCCTCCTCCTCCTCCTCCTCCTCCTCCTCCTCCTCATCCTCCTCCTCTTCCTCTTCGCCCCTCCTCCAAATCATCATCATCATCCTCATCCTCATCATCATCATCATCATCATCATCATCATCATCATCATCATCATCAGCAGCAGCAGCAGCAGCAGCATCAGCAGCAGCATCAGCAGCAGCAGCAGCACCATCATCAATAGCAGAATTAGCATCATCGCCATCATCATCCTCAGCATCATCATCATCATCATCATCATCAGCAGCAGCAGCAGCATCATCATCATCGTTATCATAAGCATCATAAGAATCACCATCACCATCACAATCAGAATCACCACCACCACCATCATCAGCATCACCATCTTACTCATACTCCTACTCCTTTTCCTAGTCTTAGCCCTAGTCCCAGTCCCAGTCCTACTCCTACTCCTACCCCTACTCCTACTCTCCCTCCTATTCCCACTCCTCCTACTCCTACTCATCCTCCTCCTACTCCTACTCCTACTCTTCCTTCTACTCCTCCTCCTCCTCCATCCCTCTTCCTTTTAAAGTAACGTGTTCCCTGTCTCACCCCGAGGCTGCTCGAAAGGGCGGGCTGGGCGTTTCGCCAGAGGACTCCTCATCACTGATCATCATGAAGCTTCGATTTTCAAGCGCTTCACAGATGGAGGGCGTACCGCTTTCAAAATGTGGCTCTCGCCTGAACTCCGCGCACACTCGTCTCAAAAATGTGCAGGCGCTTCACGGATGGAGGGCGGTCCGCTTTCAAAGTGTGGCTCTCGCCTTAGCGCAGCCCACATTCTTTCTGAAAGCTTGGAAGAGCTTCACCGATGGAGGGCGACCCGCTTTCAAAATGTGACTCTCGCCTTAGCGACGCCCACATTCGTCTAGCAAATTTGCAAGAGCTTCACGGATGGAGGGCGGCCCGCTTTCAACATGTGGCCCTCGCCATAGCACCGAGCACTCGCCATAGCACCGAGCACATTCGTCTTCAGATTCTGCAGCAGTTTCAAGGATCATCATGGTCAACATCCCAGAAACAATCTTTTGGCACGACGTCGGAAAGTCAAGGCGCACCAATTACGTTGATTCGCGGTGATGAAGTCCCAGGAATGGCAATCTGGCACGATTCAGGATCGTCAAGACGCAACACTTCTGGTGATTCGCGGGGTTCAAGTCCCACGCATGGTTTTCTGACACAGCTCAAGACTTTCAAGCGGCTGTTTCCCAACGGGGCACTTCCCTCAGCGAACATGAACCCTTGCAGGGGCATATGAAAAGGGAGCTTGGAGGACCAGTTGATTGCAAGATCGTTAAAGGGTTTTGGATTCACACTGGACCTCCTGATCCTCCTCCTCCTCCTCCTTCCTCCTCCTCCGCCCTGCCTCTCCTCCTCTCCTCCTCCTCCTCCTCCTCCTCCTCCTCCTCCCCCCCCTCCTCCTCCTCCTCCTCCTCCTCCTCCTCCTCCTCCTCCTCCTCCTCCTCCTCCTCCTCCTCCATGGCAGCACGCACGGCGACATCGTTGCAGGCACCCCTTCCGTGCGGCACCAGGCCATCCCCGCGGGCGGCGCGGAGCCCGTCCTCGCGCCGCTGCATGCCGGAGAAGCCGCCGAGCAGGCCCGGACCAGACGGCGGCGGCGTCGGGCCGGGCGCCGTCCCCCGCGGGGGGGCCCGAGCCTGAGCGACCAGAGGCCTCGATCCCAGAAGTTGCAGATGAAGATCGCCACCTCGACTCCAGAGGATAGGGGAACGAAGAACGACAGTACCATAAAAACTCGGAAGTCCGCGCGGATTCCTCGGATCGGCGCTGACCCCCCTGGCGGCGCATCCGGCGCCGACCCTGGCGCGCTCCGCGCGCCAGGGAGGGGGGTCCAGCGCGGATCCGAGAAATCCGCGCGGACCTCCGAAATTTATATTTGTGCCATCCTTCGTTCCACTGGAGGATTCCACCAGAGCTGCATCTATCTCCAGAATCTCAGCAGCGACATCGACGGCAGGGCTCTCCACGCCACGTTCGGCCTCTTTGGGGAGATCGTCGAGGCCGGGATCGACGCCGACCACATTGGGACGCCCCTCGGGCGCGGCTTCGTGCGCGCTCCGCCACCGAGGACGCCGCGAGGCGAGTCCTGGCGCGCGCCTGCGGCGCAAGCGGCGTGTACATAGGCCGCCTCTCAGGCTGGTCCTCGACACAGGCCCAGAGGGGCCCTGTCTATACGACCATCACGATCGTGGACTCCCTGGACCGCACCAGTAACTCCACAGACAGCCTACGACCGCCCCTCCCCACCCCCAACCTAAGGCGGCGGATGGAGGCGGGTGATAAGAGGATGTTGGAGGTGGGGGAACCACTGATCCAGGGTCTATTGCAAGGCCAGCGCGCACCTGACACTCGACGAGGGCACGCTTCGCCCTGGGAGCGATTCCTACCTCCACTGCCTCCTCTTCTTATGCTCTTTCTACTCTCCCTTCCCGCCCCATGCGCGCTGGCGTGCCGTAAGCGCTTTATGCTTCCAGATAGATCACACGTCATGTAACCGTCGCCTGCATTGTACTCCCATGGGCGGGGAGACTCGTGGGTCGAACGCTGAAGGCGCCTCGCATCCAGGCATGCCGCACACTAGGGAGCCGTACTCGCTGAGCGATTTTAACTTCGAAGCTCACCGGCAGTGTATTCCCAAGGGCAGGGGCTCGCGGGTCGAGCGCTGAAGTCGCCTCGCACTGCGTGAAGGCAATGGCGAGCACGGGCTGACGCTCGGTGGCGGGTTTTGAGTAGATGCGGAGGAGGGCGCAGGTGGGGGGTGCGCATGTGACCCTCGACGAGGGCACGCTTCGTCCTGGTAGCGATTCCTCCTTTCCCCGCTTCTCCTTATTTTGCTGACTCTCCTCTCCCTCGCCGCCCCATGCACGCTGGCGCCTGACGTAAGCGCTTTGCGCTTCCAGGCGAATGACGCATTCTGCAACCGTACTCGCTGAGCGACCGGATCGAAGATCACCGGCAACGCATTCCCATGGGCAGGGAGACTCGTGGGCCGAGTGCTGAAGGCGCCGCGCATCCGGGCATATCACACACTAAGGACCCGTCCTCGCTGAGCGATCTTGACTTCGCAGGTCACCGGCAGTGCTTCCCAGGCGGCACAATCGGCGGCCAGCCACGAGCCCTTCCTGCAGCCCACTGTAATTAGCGAGAGGCGCGCAGACAGCGTTCGGCCCCGTTCGCTTCCGCCCAGCGCGAAGGCTCCCTGCGCTGTCGGTAGCATCGCAACCTGCTGCCGACCGACTGGGCCCATCCAGCTCGGAGATGGACAGACCTCCCTTTAGTAAAACATGGTTTAGTGAAAACGACTTCGGGCCCAAACCTGGCGGGCGCAAGCCTGGAAAATAACGGCCCCGGCGCCCTCTCGAAAACCGAAAACGGACAATTCACTAATCGACGTGTCACTGTTGGGGGTTCTGTCCCCCCCCGACCAGCGAGCTCCAGCCCGCCCGGCGCCACAGTCGGCGGCCAGCCACGAGCCCTCCTCACGGCCCGGGTGTGCAAACCCTCCGGCAGAGGCGTGGGCGCCGACCGCCGACTCGAGATCATCCTTCCCACGTGCGCCGCCAGGACATGTCGGGATCCACTGCCGCGACGCCGTGTCCCAGGGACTCGAGGGCCGCGACCCCGAGGCAGTGGACATGGTCAGACTCTGGCGGTGGGCGCGAAGACGGCGCTCGGCCCCATCTCGGCTCCGCTTTGGCGCGAGGACTCCTGCGCTGTCAGCACAGCTTCGCCACCGCTGCCGGCCGACTGCTGCTGCCGCACCACCCTCCCTCCACTGTTGCACCGTCGCCGGCTCCTGCCACTCGCCGCCCCGCGCTCCCGGAGCGGGAAGGGGATTGCGATCGCTGGAGGGTGGGGAGGACACCAGATTCCTCGGGGAGGGGGGAGGGGGGGAGGGGGGAGATTTCCCAGATGCACTGGTCTGACCTTCGAGCCCCAGCTCCCCGATGGCCCTGCCAGCGCCCCCTACCCCCCCCCAAATGTGCCCCCACAGAGGAACCTGGGCCTACCAGATCGACACACCGGTCAGCAGGAGCTGATCGGGTGCGCCTTCGCGTGTTGCCCGCCACTTTGGGGAGGAAGCGCTTGGGGGTTCATCTGACTGCCAGGATTCCCCCCCTCCTGCTCTTCCCCTCCTTGTCGTGCCTGCTGCACGCCCCCCTCTTCTTCTCATCATCGCCTCCCCCTCCTCCTCCTCCTCCTCCTCCTCCTCCTCCTCCTCCTCCTCCTCCTCCTCCTCCTACTCCTCCTCTGCTGATGTCCTCCTGTGTCATCCCCTTCCTCGTTATCCCTATCCTCCTGGGGTAGACCCCCCTTTCGGTTAGTGGCGCCACTTTACACACCAGCCCTGCGGAGCAGGGCTGAGTTGGCTTCGTCTGACAGACCAAGCAGCCATCAGGAATCAGGAATCAGGAGGAGGGGGACGAGGAGGAGGAGGAGGAGGAGGAGGAGGAGGAGAAGCAGGAGAATGGGGAGGGGGAGGGGGAAGGGAAGCGGGAGGGGAGGAGGAGGAGCAGGAGGAGGAGGAGGGAGGAGGAGGAGCAGGAGGAGGAGGAGGAGAAGAAGGAGGAGGGGGCAAGAGGGAAGAAAGGCAATTGAGGAGAGAGCGAAGGCCGAGCGAGAAAAGGAGGACGACGAAGACGCGGAGGAGCAGCAGGAGGGGGAGGAGGACGCAGGAGGAAGAGGAGGGCACCCCTCGATGGCGACGGCCAGTCAGTAGGGGAGGCAGGCGGAGGAACGAACGAACGAACGAACGAAGCCTACTGTCGCCGGTCGAAAACCGGCGGCCCGTGCGGGTTGCGTGCGGAAGAAGCGGAGGAGGAAGAGACCATCGGAACGGGCGACGGCTGCTATAAGGAGCAGGGGGGCACAACGAGAGGGCGGCAGCCAACAAGGTGCACGCGTGGTGGGGCCTTGAGCGGCCTCGGCCAGGCCTCCCATGTGGCGCCTCGGAATTTCACGGGCGCGGGCCTCTCCTCCTCTCCGCCCCACCTCTTCCTCCTCATCCTGATCCTGCTCCTCCGCCTTCCTCCTCTTCCTCCTCCTCCTCCTCCTCCTCCTCCTCCTCCTCCTCCTTCTCCTCCTCCTCCTCCTCCTCCTCCTCCTTCTGCTCCTCCTCCTCCTCCTCCTGCTCCTCCTCCTCCATTCCATGTCATTTCATTACCTTCTTGATAACTCCTCGCTGTCGCACCCCGAGGCCCGTCGAAAAGGGCGGGCCGGGCATTCTCGGATGAGACTTTCTCGCCATTGACTGTCCTGAAGCCTAAACATGGGCAGCAGTTTCACTAATAGAGGGCGGGCCGCTCCCAAAACGTGGCTCTCGCCTCGGCGCCGCACATGCGTTCAACAAGACCCAGGGTTTCACGGAGTTGCATGGCTAACGTGCCAAAAGCTGTGCTTTGGAATGCCTCAGGACTGTCAAGGCGCAACAGTCACGTTAATTCGCGATGCTGAGGTCCCAGGACTGGCGTTCTGGCACGATTCAGGATCGTCACGACGCAACAGTCAAGTTGACTCGTGGTGTTGGAGTCCCGAGCATGCTGTTTACGCGCTTGAGGATCTTCAACGGTTGGCTCCCAACGGGGCCTTTCCCCCAGTGGACATGAATCCTTGTATGGGGCCTATGAAGAGGGAGCTTGGAGGGAGGATGTACTCCAACGTCATTGATGAGTCTTGGATTTGCACTGGTCCTCCTCCTCCTCCTCCCCTCCTCCTCCTCCTCCTCCCCTCCTCCTCCTCCTCCTCCTCCTCCTCCTCCCCCTCCTCCTCCTCCTCCTCCTCCTCCTCCTCCTCCTCCTCCTCCTCCTCCTCCTCCTCCTCCTCCTCCCCCTCCTTCTCCTCCCCTCCTCCCCAGGAGGATCCCGAAGCGATGATGGCCATGACGCTGCTGACGTCCGAGGGCGGCGGGCGACCGAGAGACCTGGCCGAGCGCGCAGGGCGCTGGCTCTGCGGCGCTGCCGCCGTGCGGCGCACGAGGCACCAGCTGATCCGCGGCGCCTCCGCTGTGCAGTAGGAAGGCACCAACTATACACCAACACCGATCCTGGCCAGGATCACCCTGGGCCCAGGATCGGTGTATACGCCCTCCTGCCCTTGGGAAGCAGCTGCGCCGAGGGCCGTGCTGCAACCGCCAAGGCTGAGAAACAGCGTCGAGGTGGGCTGGTGGAATTACTTGTTACTTTTGGGAGGAAGGCCACGCGGCCTCAGTAGGTCGATCGATAGCTGGTGGGATTATGCGAAGCGTCTAGAATTGTTGCGGAGGGGGGAGGGGGAGGGTGAGGGGCGGCTCCTTTTTTCAAAACTCCTCCGATGATTCCAGAGGGCCGTCGTTGCGGTCACGCCGACGAGACAGAGAGAGAGCGAGGGAGAAATGGAAGGAAAATTACAACGCACCGCAAAATTGAGCGCTCATTGGCGCCCTGCCAGTGCCACGGCAAATTCGGCAGGCCCACGTCGCGATGACATGGGTGCTGGCTCCTGGCACACCGTGCGGATGCTTCAACCTGGATGGAGGAACGAACAACTACGTGCATATAATTTGTTGGTGGTCCACGCGGGTTTCTTGGATCGGCGCGGAGCGCGCGGAGCGGGGGGGCCAGCGCCGATGCAAGGAATCCACGCGGACCGCCAACAGCTTACATGTATGCAGCTTGTTGTCCTTCGACTCAAGCGATCGCCCCCTTCCGAAAGCGCAGGTCGTTCCATCTCGGCCGACACTGGTCGAGTGACCCTGGGTAAGGGTGACCTTTGGTGCGCGGCTTTGTGAGGGCCGCGGGGGGACCAACCACAAGCGCGCAAAACGCCACTGTCGCACCGCACTCGGCGATCGGGAGGTCCCAGTGGACCCGCAACAGAAAGGTCACTCCGGCGAAAGGTCACTCTTACAGTCAACCCGTATCATAAGGACGCACGATAAGGAATGCAAGGGCCTTGGAAGGCCGTTTCGAAGCTTTTCGACTGGGGTGCGGCCACCAAAAGTGGCCACGGATGGGCCGCGGAGCCAAGGATGCAAGGGTATTACCCTTGGGAAAATTGCCCCCATCCTTACTGTGCGGGTTGACTGCACGTCTAGTCGCTCTGTGCCACCCGCGGCGTTCAGTCTTCAACGCCCGCGCGAGGTGACGCTGGCGCGTCGACGCGGCGCCAGCCTGCCGTGCCGTCATTGGAAAACATGCGCGGCGGGCAAAGATGGCCGCGGGCCCTGGAGAGAGGGCCCGCCGCCCCTGTGCCGGTCGCACAACCTTGACGGGCGCGGGCGGGGAGGGGAATTGCTAACCAGGGTGATGGAGCGGCAGATGCACGGGCTGCAGAAGATGCGCGGCTGAGCAGCGAGACTGCCCTGACCATCGTGATCGTGCAGACGGATGGAGAAGCTGCGCAGATTGGCGGCAGCTGGCAGCGTCCGTGCACGGCAGCTGCTGGATACGCCTCAGCGGAAGAGAGGGCGGCGTTCGGGGGAGGCTGCGCCTAGCGGAGGCAGGCTGACCCCACCATCGGCATGAGGTGAGAGTTCCCCCGTGCCGACGCGGCACCGCTTCGACGTCATCGCTGGCGCCAGGCGGCCGCCGCAGGCCCGCTCCGACGGCATCAGAGAGAGAGAGAGAGAGAGTAGCCTGATGATACAGGCTCCGCGTCGTGCTAAACACGGTGCGCCGACTCGTGCTCATCGATCTCCGCGTCCTGCTCCGACTAGTTGACCTCAACCTCCGCGTTGTGAATGCCGCGCTGGGGTGCTGGGCCCCTGCCACGGCCAGGACACCCGAGCCCCATAATCAGGCAGCCCAGCGCGACGCCGCAGACCAAGAACAAGATCAACAAGAAGAAGATCAAGACACCAGCGAAGACTGCAATTAATCCCTGTGGCTCGGTGGTGGCTGTGGTTTTTGACGTGTCCGAACTCGTGCCCGTACCGGCCGTCTTGGTGGTCGTCGCGGTGGTCGTCTCAGTTGTTGTCTCGGTGGTTGTCTTGATGATGGTAGTAGTGCTTGACGTCGCGGAACTCGTGCCCGTACTGGCCGTCTTGGTGGTCGTCGCGGTGGTCGTCTCAGTTGTTGTCTCGGTAGTGCTTGACGTCGCGGAACTCGTGCCCGTATCGGTGGTGGTTGCCTCGGTGAAGTCGAACACGTACGCGGAGCCTGAATTGTAGCCCTGGTCGTCGTCATAGTAGGCCCCCACCACCACACGGGCCCCGTCGGAGCTCACGGCCACCGAGATACCGAAACGGTCGTCTTCGGCCGCATCACTCGCCTCAAGCTTCAGCAGCGTCTCGCCGGTGGCCCCGTCGAGCACGTACACGGAGCCGGCCCCGTTGTAACCCCAAATGCTCCCCACCATCACGCGGGCCCCGTCGGAGCTCACGGCCACCGAGGAACCGAAACGGTCGTAAGCAAGCCGCCCATCACTCGCCACAAGCTTCAGCAGCCTCTCGCCGGTGGCCCCGTTGAACACGTACACGGAGCCGAAGTTGTTGTCGTCGCGGTAGGCCCCCACCACCACGCGGGCCCCGTCGGAGCTCACGGCCACCGAGTGACCGAAACTGTCCTCTGCGGCCCCATCACTCGCCACAAGCTTCAGCAGCCTCTCGCCGGTGGCCCCGTTGAACACGTACACGGAGCCGGAATAGGAGCCGTCACCATAGGCCCCACCACCACGCGGGCCCCGTCGGAGCTCACAGCCACCGAGGAACCGAAACGGTCGTCTTCGGCCCCATCACTCGCCACAAGCTTCAGCAGCCTCGCGCCGGTGGCCCCGTCGAGCACGTACACGGAGCCGGCCCTGATAGCCTGGTCGTTGTCATATCTGCTCCCCACCACCACACGGGCCCCGTCGGAGCTCACGGCCACCGAGTGACCGAAACTGTCCTCTGCGGCCCCATCACTCGCCACAAGCTTCAGCAGCCTCTCGCCGGTGGCCCCGTTGAACACGTACACGGAGCCCTGGCTGACGTCGTTTCCCACCACCACGCGGGCCCCGTCGGAGCTCACGGCCACCGACTCACCGAAATGGTTGTCTGCAGCCCCATCACTCGCCACAAGCTTCAGCAGCGTCTCGCCGGTGGCCCCGTCGAGCACGTACACGGAGCCATGAACAATGAGCTGGGAGTCGTCGAAGTCGTAGTAGTAGTGATAGGCCCCCACCACCACGCGGGCCCCGTCGGAGCTCACGGCCACCGAGAAACCGAACCTGTCGTTGTCGACCCCATCACCCGCCAAGAGCTTGAGCGACTGCGCGCCGCTGGTAGACAGGCGCCTCCCGAACTCGGCCTGCGGCTCGCGAGGGCGACCGCTCGCCGAGCCCTCCACCCTCGGGCGGGCCAGCGTCCCGCTCGCCGGCGACCCAGCGCTCGGGGCGCCGCGCGCTGCCAGCAGCAAGAGCAGCGCGCCGACGCTGTGAGACGTGCGCAGGCGCATCATGCCGTCTGCAGGTGTGCAGAGTTGAGCGGAACGAGAGACGCCAGAGGGGAGCCCTGGGAGGCCGGCGACGGCCCCTCGAAACCTTGAGCCAAAATTGCGACCAGCCCCGATGGCTTGCCCAAGACATTCCTTGTTCGGATTCACCGTCATCATATGGTTACAGCATCACCATTGCTCTTCTCTTTTACACTGGAATTCCTTGGTGATGCTTTCCGAAGGATTCCTTGTGTGAGGCTTTTAAATATAATCCCTTTGTGGTGCTTTCCAAAGGATTCTTTTTTTTTGCGAGGCTTTCCCATAGAATATTTTCGTGGTGTTTTCCAAAGGATTCCTGCTGTAAGGCTTTCCAATAGAATCCCTTTGTTGCGCTTTCCAAAGGATTCCTTTTGTGAGGTTGTCCAATCGTATCCTTTTGTAGTGCTTTCCAAAGGGGTCCCTTTATGAGGCTTTCCAGTAGAATCACTTTGTGATGCAGAGGAGGCGGAGGAGGAGGAGGCGGAGGAGGAGGAGGAGAAGAGAGATCTATATAGAGAGAGAGAGAGAGAAAGAGAGAAAGAGAGCGAAAGAGAGATAGAGAGAGAAAGAGAGAACGAAGAAGAGTGGAGGAGGATGAAGACGAGGAGGAGATATGTATGATCATGTGGGTGGGGGGGTAGATCGCCCCCCACCACATGATCATACATATCTCCTCTTCCTCCTCCTCCTCATCCTCCTCCGCTCTTCTTCGTTCTCTCTCTCTCTCTCTCGCTTTCTCTCTCTCTCTCTCTTTCTCTCTCTCTCTCTCTCTCTCTCTTCTCTTTGCCCTGCGGGGGCCACTCCCGGCGGGGCCGGAGGCCCCGCCAGGAGTGGCCCCCGGCCCGAGGCGTCACGAGCTGTGCGCTCCCTTGCCCTGGGCCCAACCCGACGTCGTGACCCGCTTCACGGATGTGGACCCCCAGAGGTCTCGACCCCTACCCCGGGGCCAGCTCTTCATCCTGCGCCGTACTTGCTGAAACGCTCCCGGGGCCGCCAAAAAGAGGGCCCCCAGAGGCCGAGAGCACGCCCCAAGCTTTTTGCCCGCGACGCGAGGGGGATCAGCGCCGTTGTGAGGACTGCTCCGGAGGCCACGTGGCCGACTCAGGGAACCATGCTTGGGCGTGGCTTCATGGGGGGGTCACAAATAGGGGGGTCAGAAACGGTCCCCTTTCGTGCCCCTTTCGGGCCCATCCGGAGCCCCAGGGGGCTCGTTTAGGCACCGTTTGGGTACCTTTTCGGACCACCCTCGCCACCCCCCCATTTATGACCCCTCCATTACGCAACGCCCAACATGCATCCACATGGCCGACTCCGGAAACCCTGAACCCCAAAAATGTTGTCGTCTATCGGGGGTGCATCCTTCGCTTGCTTCCGCCGCCTTCCGCCGGCCTCCGCCGGCGGAGGCGGCCTCGTCTGCTTCCGCCCACCTCTTCCGCCGCCCTCCCGCTGCCTCTGCCGAAGACGTGGCAGCTCCTGGGACCCTCGAAGGCGCACCCTTTTTCGAGCGCCGCCTCCTCCTCCTCGAAGAGGAAGAAGAAGAAAAAGGAGAAGAAGAAGAAGAAGAAGAAAGAAGAAGAAGAAGAAGAGATATATACTGACGCCTTCCGCGCCGACCCTCCGCCGGCTCCCGCTGGTGGAGCCGCGGCCGCCCTGCCTCCGCCACAGCTTGCCGCCGAAGACGAGGCCCCCTCTCTGGAACTGCCCGCCGGGCCCGCCCTGGAGGCCCTCGATCCTCGACCCTCGACCCTCGACCCTCGGCCATAGGCCCTCGACCCACGATCGATCCTCGATCGACCCTCGATCCTCGATCGATCCTCGTTCCTCGATCCTCGATCCTCGATGCTCGACCCTCGACCCTCGATCCTCGATCCTCGATGCTCGATGCTCGACCCTCGATCGTCGACCCTAGACCCTCGATCCTCGAGCCTCGGTCGATCCTCGATCCTCGATCCACGATCCTCTCCTCGCCCTGCCCTGGTCTGGGGCCACCCTGGGTCAGGCGGCCACCTCCAGCGGCGCCCGACGGGCGGAGGCGGCTGGGCCCCCGCCTGTCTGGGGCGCGCGCCCCGAGGCGCAGCACGCGGGCACGGGGCTCGACGCGCAGGCCGAGAGCGTCGGTCTGGCGCGAGGCGCTGGCCAACACGTCGGCCAAGACGCGCGCGAGGGCAAAGGTGGGCCAAAACGTGCGCCGAAGCGTGGGCCAACACGCGGGCCAAAGCGTGCGCCAAAGCGTGGGCGAGACGTTCGCCAAAGCATGGCACGCGCTGGGGAGGAGGAGGAGGAGGAGGAGGAGGAGGAGGAGGAGGAGGAGGAGGAGGAGGAGGAGGAGGAGGAGGAGGAGGAGGAGGTGGAGGAGGAGGAGAGGAGGAGGAGGCAGGTAGAGGAGGAAGGAGGAGGAGGATGATAGAGGAGGAGCAGGAGCAGATGGAGGAGGAGGAGAAGGAGGAGAGGAGGAGGAGGAGGAACGGGAGGGGAGGCGAGAGGAGGAGGAGGCGGAGGGAGGAGGAGGAGGCGGAGAAGGGGAGGAGGAGGAGGCGGAGGACATACCCAGAGGGGAGGAGGAGCGGGAGGGGAGGCAGTGGGGCGACGTAGGAGGCAGAGCGGAGGAGGAGAGGGGGAGAGGAGAGGAGCGAAGAGTAGGAGGAGGAGGAGGGGGTCCGGGGCGGGCGCCCCAGGCCCCCTCGCCCAGCGCCCGGCCGAACTCGTACATGTCGTGCACGGACCTCTCCTGGCGGCGGGCCGGCGGGTCGCTCGACGCAGTAAGAGCGGCCCGAGCGGAGCGGAGGCGCGGCGAAGGCGCCCGCCAGCGGGAGGCGTGTCCCGGCGGCGAGCAGCCGCGCGCGGCCGTGCCGAGGCACAGCGGGCGCGCGCGCGCGCCTCTCAGAGCAGAGGCTCTCGGCTGCTCCTGCGCCTTTCAGCTCGCAGCTCCTCCCCTCCCCTCCTCCTCCACCTCCTCCTCCTTCTCTTCCCCCTCCTCCTCCTCAACCTCCTCCTCCTCCTCCTCTCTCCTCGGTCTTGATGTGTTCCTCCTCAGTCTCGGTGTAGCCCTCCTCCATCTCGGTCTGGTCCTCCTCGGTCTCTCTGGTCAGCACTCCTCAGTCTGTTGCTCTCCTCGCCTCCGCCCAGCCCTCCTCGTCCACCGCAAAGTGCCCTTCCAGAGGGTGCCGAGGAAGGCCCTCCTGCTGCCCGCCGTCACAGTACCCTTAGCATGCAAGCGGCATGGCCTCTTTCCCAGGCCTAGGCTTGCCAGGAGTTTTGCGTATGCTGAGCTCGTTCCTGCTCGCTTTCGCCACTCCTACGCATACCCTTACCCCGAACCTTATCTTCACTCGTATTCACTCCACCCCCCTCCTCATCTTCCCTTCCATCTTCCCTTCATCGTCCTCCATGTTCCCCTCCGATGCTCTGAACACTTCCCTTCCACATCATCCGTTCTCCTCCACCATATCATCACCAGCATCATCATCACCACCACCACCATCATCGGATGTCATTGCCCCGCACATTCACTGATGACCTCCTCCCTACCCTCCTCCTCCTCCTCCACCTCCTCCTCCTCCTCCTCCTCCTCCTCCTCCTCCTCCTCATCATCATCATCATCATCACCATCATCACCATCATCACTGTTGCAGCATCATCGTTACGGCTTTCACAGGTCCCCTCATCCTTCGACCAGCACACCACCACGCCTGAACACCCACGCTGCCCCGTGTCGATACCATCGTCTGGTCCTCCCTGCGGTCTTCCGCGCTGCGTTCCGTCGCCACGCCTGGCGGTCTGCCTTCTCAGACCTCCGACGCCATGCTCTGCATATTACAGCGTAGGCCCTCGAACCTCTCGGCCCAGTCCCCAAGGAGTGGCTTTTCGCTGCGGATCGTTTTCGGAGGGCCAAGGACAAAGAGATCTCCAGGCCCTGGGTGCACCCCCCCCCCCCGGGTGCCGACGTGCCGAAAATAACAACTTTAGGCAAGTCACTTCTAGCACAAATGCGCGCGGCTTTAAGGCGAGAGCCACACTCTGATGAGAGTCCGCCCTTCATCGGTGTATATAAGCTTGGAGATGGCGGGGAAAGCGGAGGAAAGGAAACGACGACGGCAAATCTAGGGATATGGACGAAGATGAGGCTGGTGATGGTGATGGTGATGGTGCTGATGATGGCGACGGCGATAGCGATGGTGATGGTAATGATGACACGCCCTCGGGGGGGGGAAATGGAACAGCAACCAACTTGTAACACATCAACGGTTCAAGGACTGGAGTGCCCCGATGCTCACCGAGGCCTCCTGGGGCTGAAGCCAATTCCCAAGTTCACCTCCCTATGCCACAGGGCCAAGGAAGGAGGAAGGGGAGGAGGAGGAGGAGGAGGAGGAGGAAAAGGAAAAGGAGGAGGAGGAGGAGGAGGTCGACGACGACGACGACGACGACGACAACGACGACGACGACGACGAAGAAGACGATGACGAGGACGAAGACACGCCTGACGCGCGCGCGCGCGCCGCGCGCTCGCTTTTCGGCCAGGCCATCGCTGCGTCGACTGGCCCGGCCAGTCTCGCGATCCCATCCACCGCGGCGCCGCACGGGCCGCGCCGTGGTCTCTCCGCGGCGCCCACGAGCCGCAGCTCCAAGGGCAGGCGGAAGGCGTGTGGGGCCCGCCCCAAGCAGACTGCCGATAGGCCAGCCCTTCCTGGACCTCTAGGGCCTCCCAAGGTCCGTCTCGGACCCCGAAGGGCTATCAAAGAACGGCCCGCGACCGACGAAAAACATGTCCAGAGGACCGGGTCAAGAGCCTTGAGAGGCCTCGATTGCACAACCACACGCGCACACACAAACACACACAAACAACAACAACAACAACAACAACAACAACAACAACAACAACAACAGCAACAACAACAACAACAACAACAGCAGCAGCCGCAGCAGCAGCAACAGCAACGACAATAACAACAACAACAACAACAACAACAACAACAATCACTTTACCC